GATATAGCAGTATATACCTGTAAACCCATCACTTAGAAGGTGGACAAGGAGACCAGAAATCCAAGAATAAGGTCATCCTTAGCCATATGTGTGTTCAAAGCCATCCTGAGTTATATGAATCATAGTTTCTGTCCTTCCCATCTTCATGGGTGTATATATTTTATATGTATTTATTTTATAGATTGATTACATTTTATCTATATATGTGTATATAGATACACACATAAAATTTAAGAAACTTACATAGAGATTTGTGAGGTGGCTCAGTGGTACAGCACTTGCTTGGTAAAGCCACACCACCACCATTTGCTGAGTAAACTAATCTAGTAATATTTTATTTTCCTAGCAAGAGTTCTTATCAAACAAAATTATACACCTTATATATACACCCCTAGAACTGAGCTCCTCCGCTGCTGCCTTCCCTTGTCCTTCCTAGGCCCCCAATATAGCTCTGAAATTTTAGAAATTTTAGAACATTTTAGAACAATCACTAGGTTAAGCCACTACTGTTGCCTCTCTGGCTCTCATTTTAGTATTATTCTAATTCTCACTTACTGTGGGTCATTGATAACTGAAGCTAAAGGTTTTGAACTAAAACTCATTGATGTTTTGAATTTCATGAAGTCGGCATAGTAATCTTTTCCTTATCTCAATGTCTTAAATGGCTATCACTTTCCAGCTGCTTACTATGTGGTAAAGACTTTACATATATAATATTGAATCTCAAAACAATCTTCGGGGTAGTTAGCACTCCCACTTTTATCAATGAAGTAAGTGAACCTCAGAGAGGTTAAATAACTTGCTCCGTAGCATACAGTCAGCAATTGGTAGAGCCAGGACAAGAAAGTCTACGACTAAATAAAGTTCATGCTTTATTTAATAAACCTATGACAATGCCTGCTAGGTCTTTTTAAATAATTTATTTTTATTTTATTTGCATTGGTGTTTTGTCTGCATGTATGTCAGTGTCAAATCTTGGAGTTACAGACAGTTGTGAGCTGCCATGTGGGTACTGGGAATTGAACTCAAGTCCTCTGGAAGACTGGCCAATGCTCTTAACCACTGAGCCATCTCTCCAGCTCTGATGGTGAGGCCTTAAGTGCTTTATAAAATGCATTCTTTCCTCACCACAACCTTCTAAAAATACACTCTTGCTGTTATCGCTGTGTAACAAATAAGGAAACTAAGGAACAAAGAAATTAATTTATGTTTTTATTTTTAATGCCACAACCTTTGATATAACTGCAAATATTTAAAAATTAGCCTAACAAACATAGGAGCCTAATTTTTTAACATAACACACTCAAAAGTTAAGAATTATGTAATGTTTTAGATGAACTACATTATCTTTCATATACTTATAAATAATTAGAATTTTAAAATAAATGTCCTAGCCGGTATCTAATTATTGACAGATACATACACCTTTTCCTGAGACTCAGGAGGCACAAACTGGCAGATCTCTAAGTTTGAGGACAGCCAGGGCTATATAGAGAGACTCTGTCTCAAAAAACCGATTAAATAAATAAATATCAACTTAAAAGGTTTCTTCATTTTTTAAAAATATTTATTTATTTATTATGTATATATATACATTCTGCCTCCATGTATGCCTGCAGGCCAAAAGAGGGCACCAGATATCATTACAGATGGTTGTGAGCCACCATGTGATTGCTGGGAATTGAACTCGGGACCTCTGGAAGAGCAGCCAGTGCTCTTAACCACAGAGCCATATCTCCAGCCCAAGGTTTCTTCATTTTTATTATCTTCTTGAATTAATTTAGATCCTTGCCAGTTATAATATTAAAGATCCAAGAAGCCACTCTTCAGAAATGCCGCTGTAGAAACTCTAAACTTGGTAACCTAAGTGTTCTTATTGTTTGTTTTTTGATACAGGGTTTCTTTGCATAGCCTTTGTTGTCCTTTGCTCTATAGACCAGGCTGGTCCCAAACTCACAGAGATCCTCCTGCCTCTGCCTCCCGAGTGCTGGGATTAAAGGCGTGCGCCACCACCGCCCGGCTAAACAACTAATTTTAGCAAAAATCCTTTACTGGGCTTTCTAGCTTACCTATACTAACTAGCCTTAATTTAAATAATCAACCAGTTAGGATAAACCACAAGAATATTGTGAGCTATGCTACAGGATCATTATAGGTGACAGACAGAACAGTAGTTGTTTTTCATTTTAAGAAAAACTTAAAGCAAAATAAAATAATGGAGAAACATGCACCTTCTAAATAATGCACCAGTACTCTTATATTATACTAAATAATAGCATAATTTATTTAAATGTCCTTAAGGTTCTGTGAAATCATAACATCAAATAAATCCATAAAATGTACTTACTAAAAGTACATGTGCCTAACTAGCAATCAAATATAGTTTCTATATCTTTTTTTAAAAAAAAATATACCATGACACAAAGCAAGCATTTTAAAACGTGACTAGATCCAGGTCATTTTTTTCCCTTAATACAGAAAGTTTTACAAAGCCAAGTTTTTTTTTTCTTTTGTTGTGTTTTAGTGACCTAGAATTTGCTATGTAGACCAGGCTGGCCTCAAACTCGGAAAGATCTGCCTGCTTTTTTGCCTACTCAGGGCTGGGATTAATGACATAAACCAGCCACATCTTTTGCCCAGCCCAAAGCACACTTAACTGACAGATAACACTGCATATTTTTAGGTACAACATAATGTTTTTAAGTGTATATATACTGGTTGAGCATATTGAATTCACAAATTTTACCCCACAAGGCTATCATATTTGTGCTTAGAGCTCAGACCATATGTTCTCTTCACGTTTTTCAATACAACAACCACTAACCTTGCTATGATAGAAGTCTTCTTAAATTTATTCTAACTATAATAATGTATCTTTTACTGGTCCAATTTTAATGTTACTTTCACTTAGGACACAAAAAATAGAAGTTACTCTGCTAGATAACTTTGCAAAATAGCATCCCTTTGATGAGTTAAATTAGCATGAAACAAAAGTGGACAAAAAAATTAACATTACAAATACTCATTAGAAAATCCAAGTCTTTGACAATTATTTGAACAGGATTGGATTTGGGGAGGAAGGGAGGGACTGGTAATATTTCAGAGTAAGGGAGATGTCAAGGAAAATAATCTTCAATTGGATAAAAAAAATGTAAAAAAAAAACTAATAAACTATCTTCAACATCAGAAGAGCAAGAAGGCTAGAAAATGCTGAACTCACTTGTTTATACTGAGCTCCCTGAGTGGAGATTTGTCTTATCTTTGAATTCTTGGTGCCTGGCACAGGAATCAATAAACACTTTCTATATTAGAAAAAAAGAACAATGTATCTTGACAAGAATTCTTACCCCAAAAGGGGGGTGGACTGAAGCTAGAAGAAGCAAGTATTAGGTTGCTTTCCCCCTTTTCTCTACAACTTTCACCCAACTAGTTAAAGCGTCTGTAATCACATAAAGGTACATTTGATTTAAAGGGCTCTAGATCAGTTTAAAATACATGAATCGCTATCAGGTGTTTATGAAAAATTTTAAATGAAAATAAGCTGAGATACAATCAAATTTAAACTTAATGTAAAATTTAAAGTAGATGAAAACAGCGGTAGGCTTAAATTTCCTTTCGCCGAAGACTAACAAGATATAAAATTTTTAAATAACTCTATTTCCCTTATGGAGCTAGTCATGCACTATAAGCATAAATTTTTTTCTAAACAAATTTCTCATAGACCCAGTAAGATACTCCTATCAGTTATAAAGACCACAAAGTCCCGAGTAGTGAACACAGCAAGCACCAGGGGGCCTCCCAGGAATAACTTGATACTAAAGGAAAATGTAAATAGGAAGGAGTTCCTGGTTTTAAAAAAAAGGCAACTTCTGCTGCTGGATAGCTTTAATATCTGAAGCAAATATACAAAGGTTTTTACAGCGGATAGAAGCGTTGTACTTTAGTTGAAAAAGTCCCTACACAAACGTCTTTGGTAAACTTCCAAACATATGCAAACTGCTTCGCTATAGTAAACAAAAGCAGTACACAGGCATTCATTAGGTGTCCGACGAAGAAGACTCTTAATCATTCAAAAAGACAATTCTTTTTTTTTTTTTTACAAACTCCCCAAACAATTAGCGACGACGCGAATTTTAGAGTAAAAGGGTTCTTTTGACCAAGACCCGCCTTTAACTTTAAACAGTATCCCACAACAGATCAATCCGTTTAACTACTGGTCTCTCCATCAAGTCTTTTCTCATGTTCCCACCAATACAAAACTAATCAATAAAAAGCATGAGAGCCCGAAACTTCAAATGCTGCGAAGACTTGTAAAAATACCTTTTAAGCCCAGGAGAGGCTGTTACAACAAACATTTACTAAGTTTGTGCAGCAATTAAACTCAGCTCAAACATGCTATAATTTTAAGCCCCCCTCCCCCATTATAACCCCCTTTCGGCTCCACGTATTCTCGCGTTTCGTATTTCTAACGGACATCTCCAAACCGATACAAGACTTTTACTATTTTTTTTGTACGCCAGACAATAAATGGTAAAGCATTCATCCTATCCTCTCCTTACGCTGTTCTAGAGCATCCAGTTAAAAAAAAAAAATTGCAAACGATCCGAGCCGCGGATCGTTTCTTTTTCTTTCTCTCTCTTTTCTTTTTTTATGGTAAAATTCACTACCGGAACGACAATCGGAGGCAGCCAAGGGCAACCAACGCACAAAGAGAACAGAGAAGAAATACACATTCCACGGACACACAATGCGCAGCGGCAGGCCTCGTCGCCCCTTCTAGGGAAGGGTTAGCGGAGGCCAGCACAGCGGCCCAGCGGAGTCCCGCCGCCTCCCGGGAAGGCTGTCCCCGCCGAGGGGGCCCGGGCCTCGGACCGGCCTCTCCGCCGGCCCACCCGCCATCCCGCGCTCCGGGGCTTCCGAGGCCACCTAGCCCGCCCGCCCGCCGTCTTGCCCGGGCTTGGCTGGAGCGGGAAGAGCCCCGGGACCGGCGCCGCACTCACCCTCCAGCAGGCGGGTGATGAGGCTGTCCACGTTCAGCTCCCCGTCCGCCATCTTATCGGCAGCAGACTCTCCTCCCCGCAGCGGGAGCAAGGGCTTCTCGGCGGTGGTGGCGGCAGCGGCTCCGCGTTCTCACCTACGAGTCACGCGACGTTTCGACCCCGGCTCCAACTCCCCCTGGGCGCGGGCCGGGGCCGGGGTCGGGCTCTCCCCCCACCCCCTCCCCGCCGAGCAGCGAGGGCGCGCTCACACGCCCGGCGAAACCCACTAGAAATAAATAAATAAACAAGCGGGACCCCACGAACCGGGCCGCGTCAGACCCCAGCCGCCTCCGCCGCCGCCGCCGCCGCCGCCTCCGCCTCCTCCTCCTCCTCCTCCTCCTCCTCCTCCTCCTCCTCCACCTCCTGCTGCTGCTGCTCGGCACCGCCCAGCTCCGCAATGCTCGCCGGCGCCGCGCGTAGCCCCGCCCCCAGCGTCACTCCCTCCCCCTCCGCCCTGCACCCGCCTCGCTGCCGCGCTGAGCCGTGCGCACGCGCGCCACGTCCCCCTCCCCGCGACTCCGGCTCCGGGCCTTCGCCTCGGCCGCAGCTACCGCGCAGGTGCGGCTTCCTCCCGCGCCCGGTCCGCTGCGCCCGCCTGTCGCGACTGCGCAGGCGCAGGGCGGAGCCAGCCTTGCAGCGCCAGAGTGAAAGCGGAGCCAGTGTAGGCACGAATGACCTTCCTCTTCTCTCCTACCTAGGGCTTGGGGTTTCCGCAGTTAGCGATAACGTTCCTCCCGCCTTGGTTTCTTTTCTCGGCTTCATTTACCGCTTTTGCAAACAATTCCTCATGTTTCCGCTATCCGGAGACGTGTGTTGCTGTTACCCGTGTTGGAAACCCAGGTGTGTTGTAAGCAGAAGGAGACTTTTCTGTTGAAAACTACTGACATTGCAAATGAGGGGGTTCCTTATTTTTTTTTTTTACCAGAGTGGCTGACTCTCCAGGTGGCCCTGGGTGAAACAAGCATCAAAGTGGACCCCGGTCCGCAGTAATAAGATTTTATACGCTCCCTCCCGGTTTCTGCTTCTGTAGCCCTTTCATCATATCTAACATCTCCATACGCGCTAGATACCACTTTTCTGTAGTGTGTTTCTGTTCTTTGCTTGATAATATTGCGTAGTCTTCTTATCTTGTGATAATTTAAACATTTTTCTCCTGCACTTGGTTTATAGGGGATAAAATCACACGCGTTGGGCTTGACACCCATCTAATCCCTGCACGCACTTGGGAGGTGGAAGCAGAAGATTCGGAAACTCAAGGTCATCGTCAACTACAAAACAGGCGGGGCAGCTTGTGCTAAAGGAGTTCCTGTCTCAAGAAACCAACCAAAGACACCACATTGATCTTTGTGTCTGCACCATCCACTAAGTATCTGGGTCAAACAAGACAGGGAGAAATAGAAACTCAGGAACTTGGAAAGGTTCGTTGTTCACCGTTCCTTCACCAAAGGACAAAAGAGTAGCCACGGGAAAGATTTAAGCAAAAATTTGAGGAGGTCAGGTCAAAGCTTTTTAGTTTTTGTTTTGTTTTCCGAGACAGAGTTTCTCTGTAGCCCTGGCTGTCTTGGATCTCGTTCTGCAGACCAGGCTGGCCTCCAACTCACAGAGATCCACTGCCTCCAGAGTGCTGGAATTAAAGGAGTGCACCGCCACCACCACCGGCCAGGTCAAAACTTTTAACTATTCCCAAGTGTGTGCTTCCTGCCTCCACCTCCCCCAACTCAGACTTCATGATGTTGGGAGCGCAAGGCCATGTGTGCTTTCCTTGATCACACAGCGAAACACTTACTGAAATCATGTGTCCTGGTCCTAATGTATATGTCATACAGCATCATCTCATTTAACCCTTACAGCAAGTCCTAGGTGGCAGGTGCCGTTATTTCCTCTACTTGTGGGTCAGACTGTCTGAGACGCTAAATGGGTTAGTTGCCTCAAGTAACAAACATCACAGCTGGGATTCAAACCCAGGTATCTAGTGCTATAATATGTACTAAATTGCAATATTCTTTCTCAAATGTGCATATTCTTTGACACAAACTTGGAGAGTAGAAACTAAGGTGTGTGCATGTGTTGTTTTAGAAAAAACATTATCAGTTGGGCCACGGTGGTGCACGCCTTTAATCCCAGCCCTTGGGCGGCAGAGGCAGGCAGAGCTCTGTGAGTTCAAGGCCAGCCTGTGAAACTCTGTGAGTTTCAGGACAGTCTGGGCTACATAGAAAAGCCCTGTCTTGAAAAACCAAAAAACAAAGGAAAATTAGAAAATGTATTGCTGATGATAAAGTATTATTCATCTAGCAATTATCATAACTACTATTGATGACCAAGATAATAATAAACATCCAAAGGGAAGACCAAGATAGTAAAGAGTTGAGATTTATAAGAATCAGAAACAGAGACCCAAGAAAGAAGACATTAGAGGGAACAGCAGTGTCTGGATGGGAAGCAGGCGGAGAGTTAGTACCGTCAAGACCTCCTGGACTTTTCCAGTCACTTGCAACATGGTGGTCAGAACTGACTCACTGTACAGTCGCTGTGGAGAGTAGACAAGAATCAGTAGGAAGAAATGGGAGCTAGGAGGGGAGCATGCGATGGCTCTGTGGGTAAGGGGATTGCTGCCAAGACTGATGATCTGAGTTCGTTCCTGTGACCCACATGATGAAAGAACAGACTGATTCCCAAAAGTTGTCCTCTGCCCTCCATACATTTCCCCATGGAATAAATCCTCCCACCTCACAAAATAAATACATAAATAAACAAAAAAATGGGGGATGAAAAAAAAGGAAAGAAACAGAGGACAGCGGATTGGAATGGAGGAGGGGGCTCAGGATTTTTAAAATTAGAAACCGTAGTCTGGGAGGGTAGAAGTTGAGATGTGGTTGGCTTAGCATCTCTTTGGCAGTGTCTGAGGTTTGACTGTAGGTCACCTGGTAGGTGGGCACGATTTGCCCCTCCTCCTGGAAGATCTCAGCATCACACTGCCCCAGCAGCTGAACAATTTTCTCTGCATCTGCTTTGTCCAAGTTCCGGGTCAGGGGATTGGACTTCTCTGTGATTGGAACAGCTGTTTCATACCCTGACAACTAGAGAGAAGGGGGCACAAGGGCAGGAACAGGAAGCCTCATGCTTGCTGGGCTGGAGGCGGGAGTGGAAGTAGGCACAGTATCGGGCTTGGATTCACATACTTCACACACACACACATACACACACATGCCATTCACATACCAAGAACTTAGTCTTTATGTGACGTTCTGAGCCCATTAGGGACGATATGAAAAGGATGTCTATCATGGGGTGTGTGCCTTTGATTCCAGTATTTGCACAGTGGCAGCAGGGGGATCAGGAGTTTAAGGCTATTCTCAGATACGTAGCAGTTTGAGGCCGGCTTGGGCTATTCCCTATCTTAAAAGCCTTCGTGTTGTTCGAGAGGCGGCCAAAACCGACAAGCTGACTCTGAAATGTGTGTGGAAATGAAAAAGATCTAAAATATCCAAGACAAAGACCAAAACTGGCAGATCATACGCTCAGATTTAAAGAGTTAAAACAAGAAGAAGACAGTGTGGCATTGGCATGGGAATAGACAAACTGATGGGAGAGAGCTTAGAGTCTACATACAGTATCACACATGCTCAATAGAGGAGAAGCTGGATGGTCCTTTGTGGTCCAGGATATCAAACCTGCTAAGCAAGTACTCTACTGTTGAGCTATATACCCAGTCCTGGAGAGTCTTTTACATCCATGATTCTGTCTTGGAAATTTTGCATTCCTTTTATATATATTTATATATTTTACTTATTTTTATTTCATATGTATTGATGATTTGCCTACATGTATGTAGGATGTTAGATCTTGGAGTTACAGACAGTTGTTGTGAGCTGCCATGTGGGTGCTGGGAATTGAACCCGGTCCTCTAGAGGAGAAACAAGTGCTCTTAACTGCTGAGCCATCTCTCCAGCCCCTTGTATTCCTTTCTTCCTCTCTCCCTCTTTTCCTTCCTTTCTCTCTCCTTTCACTCTTCCTCCCTCTCTTCTTCTCTTCTTCCTTCTGTTTTCTGAGAGAGGTTCTCAGTCTGTAGCCCAGGCTGCCCTCAAACCCACAGTGATTCTCCTATTCAGCCTCTCAAGTACTAGGATTACAACAACCATGAACCAGCACTCCTGGCTTCAGTCAATAATATTCTTACATTATCTAATCTTATAAAAGAGCTTTGGTCTCTACTTCATATCCTATGATAATTCACTTGGAGTGGATTAGAGTCCTAGATGACAAAGCTTGTGGATAAGAAATCAGAATATATTCATAACTTCAAGGCCATCAAAGATTCTTAAACATTGAAAAAAATACTAACCATGAAAGGAAAGACTGATAAATAGGATTTCATAAAAAGCAAGAACCTTTTATTCTATTTATTTGTTTTGGTTTTTTTTTTTTTTTTTTTTTGGTTTTTCGAGACAGGGTTTCTCTGTGGTTTTGGAGCCTGTCCTGGAACTAGCTCTGGAATCAAACTGGTTTATTGAAAAGTTAAGGAATTTGGTATTTAAACATAGGAATTTAGGGTAATAACTGGGTAAAAAGAAGCTAAGGAGAATCACCACATAGAAATGATGCTTAAAGCTTAGAAAAATTTTAATTGTATAGGTCTTTTATCTTCTTGGTTAAGTTTATTCCAAGGTTTTTTCTAAATTATTTATTTCATGTACATTGGTGTTTTGCCTGTATGTATGTCTGTGTGAGGGTTTCAGGTCTTCTGGAACTGGAGTTATAGACAGTTCTGAGCTGCTGGGAATTGAAGCTAGTTCCTGCAACTAGCTCTTGTAGACCAGGCTGGCCTCGAACTCACAGAGATCTGCCTGTCTCTGCCACCCAAGTGCTGGGATTCAAGGTGTGAGCCACCACCGCCTGGCTCCAGTCTTTTTTTCCTTTCTTTTGTTTTTTAATCTGTTTTAGAAAAAGATGCTCTTGAAGTACAATTTCTGTACTTTACTCAATTTTATGCTTTTATTAAATTCTAAAGTAACCATTTCACTATAGGTTATGGCCATTGCACCAACCCATTACATCTGGCAACGAGAGCGCTCTGTGCATCACAGTGGAGCTATTAGGAACTATGACAGAGATGAAGTTCATCTGCCCTGGGGTCCTAGTGCCACACCAGTAGACTGTTTACTGTGTGGTAAAAAAGGAAGATATATGAGATTGGGACTGTCTTCATCGTTATCTTCATCCAGTGACACAGTAGAGCTAATGGAAAAACACTCTCAGGAATTACACAATTCATTATCAGTGGACATGATAGGTGAACCTTCTCAAGCCAATAGCTATTCTCAAGGTATGCTTTAATGGTAAAATAAATTAAACCAATGCATGCTATTTATGTAGTCACTGATGCAAACATTTCATAACTGAGTTAAATTAGTATTGAAAATTTTCCCTCTTTGAGTTACCACTTTTTATTCTCTGTCTATACCTGTTTTGTGGTAGTGCATAAACACTAAAAGGGTTTTGACATATATTAAGATGAAACTTGGTATTTTGTGAGGGTATTAGAGCTCCAAGTATTAGGACTTGAAGGGTTTCTATGAAATGTATGTTTTATTTAAAAATGATTTCAAGAAAATAAATTTACTTGTAATCCCCACCCAATTATTGGTTTCTTCTATATACTTTTCTATTTCTAACAAAAGTAGACCATATAAAGGCTAGCCTTTTATTATTTAGTATAAGTCATTTCCCCATGTCACTTAGTCTTATTGTGATATGTTATGCCTTAATATTTGTTGTGAGGAGGCCACTTGTTGGTTTCTGGCTGCTTGGCAGCTCAGACCCAAAATAATCACACAGAAACTATATTATTAGAACACTGCTTGGCCCATTAGCTCTAGCTTCTTATTGGCTAACACTTATATCTTAACTTAACCCATTTCTAGTAATCTGTGTATCGCCACGTAGCTGTGGCTTACCAGGTAAAGTTTCTAGCATTGTCTGTCTCCAGAGGGGCTACATGGCTTCTCTCTGACTCTGCCTCCTTTCTCCCAGCATTCCGTTTAGTTTTCCCTGCCTAGCTCTGTTCCCCTATAGCTCTGCTATAGGTCCAAAGCAGTTCCTTTATTAATCAATGATATTCACAGCATACAGATGGGAATCCCACATCAAATTTATTTGCATATTTCATTTTTGTTGAGATCTAAAGCTTACTTAGAACAATGATATATCAACTAGAAAATATTAGCCAGAAATATATCATAACTTTCAAATTATTTTTTTAAAGATTTATTTATTGTGTATACAGTATTCTGCTTGGAAGCATGCCTTCAAGCCAGAAGAGGGCACCAGATTTCATTATAGATGGTTGTGAGCCACTATGTGGTTGCTGGGCATTGACTCAGGACCTTTAGAAGAGCAGGCAGTGCTCTTACCACTGAGCCATCTCTCCAGCCCCTCAAATTATTTTTATATGTAGCATTTCTCTGGCATTTCTTTTCTAGATTTGAAACAGTACTAGAATACTCTGTCATAGGATCCTGTTTCTCTCATTTGAAATATTTCTTGTTTTCCCTTCTATCCTGAAAAAAAAAAAGACACACACAACCTCAGAATTTTCCTGGTTTATTTTTACCATATTTCTATGAGAAGAACAATGACTACTGAAGCTTTTCTTTACTAAAGAGGAAACTAAACTCTAGTCCTTTGACAGTAGAGGTTGAACCTTAGTTCCTGTTTCTTTCTTTGGACACAGAATTTACTTAACAAATTTTATTGACAGTATAGTTTCTTGCTTTTCAACATCTCCAAGTACACTCATTATTGTCATACCCATATTTGACATTAAGTAGGGCTGATCAGTTATAAAGTAAGAATTGATCATCCCTGTCCTATCTTCCAGGGCTCTTTTACTTTTACATTCTTTGATCCTCAGAATAGGTAAGGTTTATTGGATACTTAAATGTCCCAGGCAATACAGAAAACCCCTAACATTCATAATGCACTACCATTGGAGGTTAAGTATTGTTATCTCCACTTGGCAAATAAGGAAAACCGAGACTTCTGTTAATTTGCCTAAGATTGGTAGAGTAATATTTGAAACCCCAGTCACCTGAATTCCTACCTAGTATGCTCTATGGGCCTTTGATGAAATCTTGCTTTTAGCAGTGAAAATAAGCTGGTGGCAGAAGCCTTTAAGAAGATTGCTAAAGCAGAGGTGGAAATATCAAGAACCAAGTTCCTTCTGAAATGCTTGTGGAGTGAGTTGGGAGCAAATTCTAATAATTTGAACAGGTATGTACAGAAAGCAGAAGAGGAACTGCTGCTGTGTTTTCAGGCCAGTCCTGTAGATCTCACTGGAGCATACTCTGTACTCAAGGCCTTGACAGTCCCACTAGGAGACTGGAGAGAGGCAGGAAGAAAGGCACGCTGCCATTCACTGCCTTGAAAAAGCTGGAGGCAGGGGACATGCCAATGGGTAAAGACTGCTAGCTGATGACCTGAGAAAGAGAGAGAGAGTAAATGTAATTTTTAAATTTTTAAAACAAGTCTTTGAGACATTATGGACGAAACAGGGCAGGGAGTTGTGGAAGGATTGTGCTTTCACCTTATTTGCTGATGAAATCCCAGTTTAGGATTTATAGGTCTTCTTTGTTGGTTTGTTTTTGTTTTTGAGACAGAATTCTCTGTGTAACTCTGGATATCCTGAAACTCCCTCTGTAGACCAAGCTCTGTAGACCAAGCTGGCCTTGAACTCAAGAGTTCCACCTGCCTCTGCCTCCTGAGTGCTGGGATTGAAGGTGTGTGCCACCATGGTCTGGCTGTGAATCTTAAGGTTAACTCTAAAAACCTTTGATAATATCAGAGGGCAAGTGATATAAAGAAAAACTATTTCTGGGTATGGTGCCAATGTCTTGTGATCTCAGCACTTAGGTTAAAGTAGGAGGACTGCAAGCTGGAAGCCACAGTGGTTTCCCATTAAAAGGGGGAGGTGGAGGTGGTGAGCACTCAAGCAATGTCTCAGGGATGAAAAGCACCTCCCACTCTTCCAGAGGCCTCCAATTTGATTCCAGCACCCACATGATGGCTCATAACTGTAAGACAAGTCCCAGGGTACCTGATGCCTTTTTCTGGCCTTTACAGATACCACATTGGTTATACACAGACATACATGTAGGACACATGTACATGCAGGCAAAACGCCTATATACATCAAAGTTAATAATAAAATTTAAAAACAAATCATTAGGAACAACAAAAAACCCTATTAGATGGAAAGATATAAAATATTGATCACATATACATTTAATCAGTAAAAAAGTCTACATTCATTTTCTGGGCCTCACAGAATGTGAAGTAACTAGGGATGAAGTATACAATATTGTAGGAGTCATAGCATTTCCTAGAGTAGGGTCAGTCTCACCTGCCTTAGCAGCTGCTCACGTTTATAGTGTCCTCTGCTAACAAAACATTTCCCCTACAGTCTACATAATGCTGGAGTCACTTGATGATTTATATATAGTCATAAAATATTCATTCCAAGTCGGGTAGTGGTGGCGGACATGCCTTTGACCCCAGCACTTGGGAGGCAGAGCCAGGTGGATCTGAGTTTGAGGCCAACCTGGTCTACAGAGTGAGTTTCAGGACAGCGAAGGATACACAGAGAAACCCTGTCTTGAAACCAACAAAATCTTTCAAGAGAGACATACAAGGAGTTGACGCTGGCTCCAGGTCTTTAAGCTATGGTTTATTGTAGATAGTGATCAGTACACCTTTCAAACAAAAGAAAGCAACTGTCTTCCATCTATCCTAACTTGCTTTTTCCCCCCTTTCTTCCTTTCTCTTTTTCTTGGTTTCATTGTGCAACACTGGGTGACCCAAACTCAATACATAGATCAGACTGGCCTCAAACTTACAGAGATCCACCTGCCTCTGGGATTACAAGTATGCAATACCATGGCTAAATTCATTTGATTTTTAAGTAACATGTACCAGAAAGCAATTTTAACACAAAAAACTACCAATGATATACTAGTCCTTTAACTAATCACATTTAAAAGCCCAATCACCCAAGAAGTTTTGAAGTGGTTTTGTTATATTCATTTTACTGCTGGAAAAACTCAGAAAAGTCACACTATTACCAGCTAAAGCAACAAACAGCAACAGAAATAAGGGGTTCAACTCTATCTAAATATGCAACTTTTGAAAAAAATATCGTATGTGTATGAGTGTTTTGCTTGCATGTGTATGTCCTTACCATGTGAGTACAATGCCCATGGAGGCTGGAAGAAGACATAGGATCCCTTAGAACTGAAGTTACATGTTTGTAAGCCACCATGTAGGTGCTGGGAATTGAACCCAGGTCCTCTGGAAGAATGGCCTAGGGTTTGTAACCCCTGAGTCATCTCTCCAGCCCCCACTTTTCTGTTTTTGCTGGTTTTGTTTTTGGTGTTGGTGTTTGAACCCAGGGCCTTATATAAGCTATACTCATGTTCTTACATTTAGGTTATGCCTCCAAACCCTGTAGCCGATTTTATATTAAACTATCTCTGCTACTGTTTATGCAGCTTGAAGCCCCAAGGCATCTAAGCTAGTCCAAAATGCACATGAACTGTCTGCAAACTTGAGGTTTTAAAATAAAAACAACGGGGAAAAAATAACCAAGCCTTTTCTTAGACATCAACAGGCATATGTCCATCTTAAAATGGAATATTCGCTATGTTAGATAACCTATAACCAAATAATTTTCTTAAAAATAAATCAACTTGGGCTGAAGAGATGGCTCAGAGGTTAAGAGCATTGCCTGCTCTTCCAGAGGTCCTGAGTTCAATTCCCAGCAACCACATGGTGGCTCACAACCATCTGTACTGAGATTTGGCACCCTCCTCTGGTGTGCGGGCATACATCGAGGCAGAATGTTGTATACATAATAAATAAATAAATCTAAAAAAAAAACCAAACAAGCCAATATTCCCCCCCAAAAAAAATCAACTTGGGGCTGGAGAGATGGCTCAGTGTTAAGAGCACTGATTGCTCTTCTAAAGGACCCAGGTTCAATTCTCAGCATCCAGATGGCAACTTACAGCTGTCTGTAATTCCAAGATCTGGACTACACGCAAGCAAAGGAATACTTGCAAGCAAAACACCAATGTACATAAAATAAAAAAATCAACTTTGGAACTTCATTTTTTCTTAAATTGTTATAT